ACAATGATGGTGATGATGACGCTGTGTGTGTGACGACAAGAACAATGATGGTGATGATGACGCTGTGTATGACGATAAGAACAATGATGATGATGATGACGCTGTGTGTGTGACGACAAGAACAATGATGGTGTGATGACGCTGTGTGTGTGTGTATGACAAGAACAATGATGATGATGATGACACTGTGTGTGTGACGACAAGAACAATGATGGTGATGACGCTGTGTGTGTGTGACAAGAACAATGATGGTGTGATGACGCTGTGTGTGTGTGTATGACAAGAACAATGATGGTGATGATGACGCTGTGTGTGACGACAAGAACAATGATGGTGATGATGACACTGTGTGTGACGACAAGAACAATGATGATGATGATGACGCTGTGTGTGACGACAAGAACAATGATGGTGATGATGACGCTGTGTATGACGACAAGAACAATGATGATGATGACGCTGTGTATGACGACAAGAACAATGATGGTGATGATGACGCTGTGTGTGACGACAAGAACAATGATGGTGATGATGTCGCTGTGTGTGACGACAAGAACAATGATGGTGATGATGACGCTGTGTGTATGACGACAAGAACAATGATGATGATGATGACGCTGTGTGTGACGACAAGAACAATGATGGTGATGATGACGCTGTGTGTATGACGACAAGAACGATGACGGTGATGATGACGCTGTGTGTGTGACGACAAGAACAATGATGGTGATGATGACGCTGTGTGTGTGACAACAAAAACAATGATGGTGATGATGACGCTGTGTATAACGACAAGAACAATGATGGTGATGATGACGCTGTGTGTGACGACAAGAACAATGATGGTGGTGATGACGCTGTGTGTGTGACGACAAGAACAATGATGGTGATGATGACGCTGTGTGTGTGACAACAAGAACAATGATGATGATGATGACGCTGTGTGTGTGACGACAAGAACAATGGTGATGATGATGACGCTGTGTGACGACAAGAACAATGATGGTGATGATGACGCTGTGTGTGTGACAAGAACAATGATGATGATGATGATGACGCTGTGTATGACGACAAGAACAATGATGGTGATGACGCTGTGTGTGTGACGACAAGAACAATGATGGTCATGATGACGCTGTGTGTATGACGACAAGAACAATGATGATGATGGTGATGACGCTGTGTGTGTGACAACAAGAACAATGATGGTGATGATGTCACTGTGTGTGTGACGACAAAAACAATGATGGTGATGATGACACTGTGTGTGTGACGACAAGAACAATGATGGTGATGATGACGCTGTGTGTGTGATGACAAGAACAATGATGGTGATGACGCTGTGTGTGTGACAACAAGAACAATGATGGTGATGATGACGCTGTGTGTGTATGACAACAAGAACAATGATGGTGATGACGCTGTGTGTGTGACGACAAGAACAATGATGGTGATGATGACGCTGTGTATGACGACAAGAACAATGATGGTGATGATGACGCTGTGTGTGACGACAAGAACAATGATGGTGATGATGACGCTGTGTGACGATAAGAACAATGATGGTGATGATGACGCTGTGTATGACGACAAGAACAATGATGGTGATGGTGATGATGACGCTGTGTATGACGACAAGAACAATGATGGTGATGATGACGCTGTGTGTGTGACGACAAGAACAATGATGATGATGATGACGCTGTGTGTAACAAGAACAATGATGGTGATGATGACGCTGTGTGTGACAAGAACAATGATGGTGATGATGACGCTGTGTGTGACGACAAGAACAATGATGGTGATGATGACGCTGTGTATGACGACAAGAACAATGATGGTGATGATGACGCTGTGTATGACGACAAGAACAATGATGGTGATGATGACGCTGTGTGTAACAAGAACAATGATGGTGATGATGACGCTGTGTGTGTGACGACAAGAACAATGATGGTGATGATGTCGCTGTGTGTATGACGACAAGAACAATGATGGTGATGATGTCGCTGTGTGTGTGACGACAAGAACAATGATGGTGGTGATGACGCCGTGTGTGTGACAAGAACAAAGATGATGATGACGCTGTGTGTATGACGACAAGAACAATGATGGTGGTGATGACGCTGTGTGTATGACGACAAGAACAATGATGGTGATGATGACACTGTGTGTGTGACGACAAGAACAATGATGGTGATGATGACGCTGTGTATGACGACAAGAACAATGATGGTGATGATGACGCTGTGTGTGTGACGACAAGAACAATGATGGTGATGATGACGCTGTGTATGACGACAAGAACAATGATGGTGATGATGACGCTGTGTGTGTGACGACAAGAACAATGATGGTGATGATGACGCTGTGTGTGACGACAAGAACAATGATGGTGATGATGACGCTGTGTGTGTGACGACAAGAACAATGATGGTGATGGTGACGCTGTGTGTGACGACAAGAACAATGATGGTGATGATGTCGCTGTGTGTGACGACAAGAACAATGATGGTGATGATGACGCTGTGTGTATGACGACAAGAACAATGATGGTGATGATGTCGCTGTGTGTGACGACAAGAACAATGATGATGATGATGACGCTGTGTGTGACGACAAGAACAATGATGGTGATGATGACGCTGTGTATGACGACAAGAACAATGATGATGACGATGACGCTGTGTGTGTGACGACAAGAACAATGATGGTGATGATGACGCTGTGTGTATGACGACAAGAACAATGATGGTGATGATGACGCTGTGTGTATGACGACAAGAACAATGATGATGATGATGACGCTGTGTGTGACAACAAGAACAATGATGGTGATGATGACGCTGTGTATGATGACAAGAACAATGATGATGACGATGACGCTGTGTGTGACGACAAGAACAATGATGGTGATGATGACGCTGTGTATGATGACAAGAACAATGATGGTGATGATGACGCTGTGTGTGTGACGACAAGAACAATGATGGTGATGATGACGCTGTGTGTGACGACAAGAACAATGATGGTGATGATGACACTGTGTGTGTGACGACAAGAACAATGATGGTGATGATGACGCTGTGTGTGACGACAAGAACAATGATGATGATGATGACGCTGTGTATGACGACAAGAACAATGATGGTGATGATGACGCTGTGTGTGTGACAAGAACAATGATGGTGATGATGACGCTGTGTGTGTGACGACAAGAACAATGATGGTGATGATGACGCTGTGTGTGTGACGACAAGAACAATGATGGTGATGATGACGCTGTGTGTGTGACGACAAGAACAATGATGGTGATGATGACGCTGTGTGTATGACGACAAGAACAATGATGATGACGATGACGCTGTGTGTGTGACGACAAGAACAATGATGGTGATGATGACGCTGTGTGTGTGACAAGAACAATGATGGTGATGATGACGCTGTGTGTGTGTATGACAAGAACAATGATGGTGATGATGACGCTGTGTGTGACAAGAACAATGATGGTGACGATGACGCTGTGTGTGACAAGAACAATGATGGTGATGATGACGCTGTGTGTGACAAGAACAATGATGGTGATGATGACGCTGTGTGTATGACGACAAGAACAATGATGGTGATGATGACGCTGTGTGTGTGACGACAAGAACAATGATGATGATGACGCTGTGTGTGAAGACAAGAACAATGATGGTGATGGTGATGACGCTGTGTGTGACGACAAGAACAATGATGATGATGGTGATGACGCTGTGTGTGTGACGACAAGAACAATGATGGTGATGATGACGCTGTGTGTATGACGACAAGAACAATGATGGTGATGATGACGCTGTGTGTGTGACGACAAGAACAATGATGGTGATGATGACGCTGTGTGTGACGACAAGAACAATGATGGTGATGACGCTGTGTGTGTGACGACAAGAACAATGATGGTGATGATGACGCTGTGTGTGTGATGACAAGAACAATGATGGTGATGATGACGCTGTGTGTGACGACAAGAACAATGATGATGATGATGACGCTGTGTGTGTGACGACAAGAACAATGATGGTGATGATGACGCTGTGTGTGAAGACAAGAACAATGATGGTGATGGTGATGACGCTGTGTATGACGACAAGAACAATGATGGTGATGACGCTGTGTGTGTGACGACAAGAACAATGATGGTGATGATGACGCTGTGTGTGTGACGACAAGAACAATGATGGTGATGATGATGACGCTGTGTGTGTGACAACAAGAACAATGATGATGATGACGCTGTGTATGACAACAAGAACAATGATGGTGGTGATGACGCTGTGTGTGACGACAAGAACAATGATGGTGATGATGACGCTGTGTGTGTGACAAGAACAATGATGGTGATGATGACGCTGTGTGTGTGACGACAAGAACAATGATGGTGGTGATGACGCTGTGTGTGACGACAAGAACAATGATGGTGATGATGACGCTGTGTGTGTGACGACAAGAACAATGATGGTGATGATGATGCTGTGTGTGACAACAAGAACAATGATGGTGATGACGCTGTGTATGACGACAAGAACAATGATGGTGGTGATGACGCTGTGTGTGTGACAACAAGAACAATGATGGTGATGATGACGCTGTGTGTGTGACGACAAGAACAATGATGGTGATGATGTCGCTGTTTGTGTGACAACAAGAACAATGATGGTGATGATGTCGCTGTTTGTGTGACAACAAGAACAATGATGGTGATGATGACGCTGTGTATGACGACAAGAACAATGATGGTGATGATGACGCTGTGTGTGTGACAACAAGAACGATGACGGTGATGATGACGCTGTGTGTGACGACAAGAACAATGATGATGATGATGACGCTGTGTGTGAAGTGACAAGAACAATGGTGATGACGACGATGACGCTGTGTATGACGACAAGAACGATGACGGTGATGATGACGATGACGCCGCCCGCTGCGGTGAAGCCGCTCCCCGCCCGCCTTGCCTCCTTGGTGTGATTGTTGATGCCCTTGAACACCTTCCCAAACGACCCCTTGCCAATCCTCTCCTGCTTGGTAAACAACTCCTCTGGGTCTGCCTTGGTCCTCTGTGAATAAACAACAGCAACGCAACAATGACACCATAACAATGACACCACAACAACACAACAATGACACCACAACAATGACACCACAACAATCGCAAACCCATCAATGACACAAAAATGCCACCGCAATCTAACAACATAACAAAAACAATGCAATAACATTACTATAATAACCATACAACAATACAACAAAAATGCCAACACAAGACCACAATAACAACACAACAACACAACACCAACACAACAATAGCATTACTATAACAATAACCATACAACAATACAACACCACAACAACAATACCAACACAAGACCACAATAACAACACAACAACACGAACACAACAATAGCATTACTATAACAATAACCATACAACAAATACAACACCATGACAAAAATACCAACACAAGACCACAATATTTCGATTTAAAGCTTTCGTGACTGCAAGGATTCATCTTCTTTGGCTCTTTAGGTAAAGTCACATAGAATGAAAATAAAATAATAAATTGATAAAATAAAATAACACAATAATATTCTCACGACGTTTCCGCCACAACACAAGCGGCCTTCATCAGGTGAAGGGACGAGACTGTCGCTCCAGCGCTGTCCTCCAGACAGTCTCGTCCATTCACCTGATGAAGGCCACTTGTGTTGTGGCCGAAACGTCGTGAGAATTTTATTGTGTTATTTTATTTTATCAATTTATTATTTTATTCTCATTCTGCGTGGTGACTTTACCGAAAGAACCAAAGAAGAAGACCACAATAACAACACAACAACAACACCAACACAATAAAAACAAAGCAATTCTAATTCTTGACTTAAATCTTTCGTGACCGCAGGAATCAATATTCTTGGGGTACTTCGGTAAAGTCACGTAGTTAGGTTTAAAATTTATAAAAAAATAAACAAAAAACCACAATGTTTCCATGGCAACACAAGTAACCGTCTTCAGGTGGGAAACAAGGGGGAAACCCTCCCAAAGGCAAGCGCTGTTTTTTTAAGGTTTAAGGTGGACATAGCCCAAGGACTGCCCCCCTTAAATCCAGCACAGGGGCCATCATCACTGATAAACAAGAGCAAATGGCCAGGTGGGTAGAACACTACTCAGAGCTCTACTCACGAGACAACGGTGTGTCAGAAGCTGCCCTTACTGCTGTAAAGCTCCTACCAACGATACACGAACTGGACAATGTTCCAACCTTGAAGGAACTTGACGACGCCATCAACTCACTAGCCAGCGGCAAGTCACCGGGACAGGACGGCATCACGCCTGAGGTACTGAAATGTGCAAAACCCGCCGTCCTCACAAAACTCCGTGAACTTCTCTGCCAGTGCTGGGAAGAAGGAGCAGTGCCTCAAAACAATGAGAGACTCCACAACATCATCACCCTATATAAAAACAAGGGTGACCGTGGGGACTGCAATAACTACCGCGGCATCGTCCTGCTGAGCATCGTGGGGAAAACCATTGCCCGTGTGGCCCTCAGCAGGTTACAGATACTAGCTGAGAGGACGCATCCTGAGGCTCAGTGTGGCTTCAGAGCAGGAAGGTCTACAATTGACACGCTCTTCTCCTTGCGTCAGCTACAGGAGAAATGTCGAGAACAGAGAATGCCCCTGTGTACTTGGCATTCATTGATCTTACTAAAGCCTTTGACCTCAGCAGTAGGGGATGCTTCTTTAAACTCCTCAAAGTGATCGGCTGTCCACCGAAGCAGCTGGCAGTCATCTCCTCTTTCCATGACAACATGAAAGGAACAATACAGAACAGCGGCACCACCTCAGAGGAATCTCCATTAATCAGCGGTGTAAAGCAGGCAGGGGTGCGTGCTTGCCCCAACACTGTTTGGCATCTTTTTCTCACTTATGCTCACACACGTGCCTTTGGGACAGCAGAAGAGGGGGAGTCTTTCTTCATACAAGATCTGCTGGCAAACTCTTCAACCTTGGCCGTCTCAGATCCAACACCAAAGTCCGCAAAGTCCTCATTAGAGAACTCCTTTTTGCTGATGATGCTGCGATGACAGCTCACACAGAACAAGGTTTGCAGACACTCATCGACCACCTTGCCAATGCCTGCAACAACTTTGGCCTGACAATCAGTCTGAAAAAGACCAATGTCATGGGCCAGGATGTCAGAGACACCCCTTCCATAAACATTGACAGCTACACCCTGGAAGTCGTTCAGGACTTCACCTACTTGGGTTCTACCATCACCTACAATTTGTCTCTTGTCACAGAGATTGACAAGCGCATTGGGAAGGCGTCTACAGTTATGTTCAGATTGACTAAAAGAGTGTGGGAGAACACATCCCTAACGCTCAATACCAAATGACAAGTGTACCGGGCCTGCGTCCTTAGCACCCTGCTCTATGGGTCCGAGTCCTGGACAACATACACCCATCAAGAACACCGACTAAACACATTCCACCTCCGATGTCTCAGGCGCATCCTCGATTATCGGATGGCAAGATCGCATTCCCAACACCTCTGTTCTCAACTTGGCCAACATTCCCAGCATGTACTCTCTACTCAGTCATAGGCGCCTGAGATGGCTTGGACACGTGCGCCGCATGCAGGATGGCAGAATACCCAAGGATGTCTTGTACGGCGAGCTGGCATCAGGCACGCGGGCCACTGGTCGCCCGGTCCTGCACTTCAAAGATGTCTGTAAACGGGACGTGAAGAGCTGCGACATCAGCCCAAATGACTGGGAGAAAACTGCCGGCGACCGACTCAGCTGGGTCCAGCAGGCTGTAAAAACAGGCCTCGGGAGAGGCGAGGAGAAAAGACGCAACGCTTGGCAGACCAAGAGGGAGCGACGTCAAGGAAAATCAACAAACAACCTCTGGAGGTGCCACCGCATTCACTTGCAATTGCCGTGGCAAGGATTGTCACTCAAGGATTGGCCTACTAAGTCATTCTAGGCGCTGCGAAGCCTACAGCTGACCTGGTAAGGCGCAAATAGAATTGTCTCTCGAGACACAAAGGCCTATGGATACAACTTGCAGTGCGCCCAACCAAGTGGGCGGGGCCACAAGGGCCTTGGGCTCAGCGCAAGCGGCGATGGTTTTGTTAATGTGGTAAATTAACAACTTTTTGTACTTGTGTAGTGTAGCGTGACGATGACGTGACGTCGTGACGCGCTGTGAGGTGCGATGACTTGGCGTCACGCGCACCAAAGGCCGACATCGGGAAGAACGAGGGCGGGTCCGAGAAAAGGGGGGAGGAGCCGCCCAAGGGGATACTTAAGGGGGACCCCCCCCCCCAACCCCCAACTTCAAGCGGAGATGGTTATGTTCACGTGAAATCGGAGAATCAAGAGAAGGGTAGGTGCACGAGCCGTGGAGAAATTAGTAAAATAAAATAAAACTAACATCGGAAGGTGACAAGATGGTAACATCACAGCCAGGTATGACTTAAACTGGCTGACGACGTCCTTCCAATGATTGCCGGGTTTGTAACCATCCGCTCGGTTGAAATTGTGTCTGTGTCTGTATATATCTGTATGGCTTCATGAACGAATCTTTGTTAATAGCCAGTGGGCTTGCAAAGTACCTTTGTCTTAGAGAAATCAATTTCGTGTGAGCCAACTGCATTAAAACAACGATCAGCCACGGCTGAGGTATTGGTCCTACCGTGTTTCAGATCTGCCTTATGTTCACAAACACGGTCCGAGACATGTCGCTTAGTTTCCCCAATGTAACGACTGCCTCAGACACAGCTTAGTTTGTAGACGCTGGGGTATTGCATGTCAGGGATCATATCCTTCACAGATGGGATCAAATCACGAATTTAATGCACTGTGTTAAATCAAACCTGGATCTTGTGTTTGCTCATGATTTTCGAAATATTTTTGGTGACCCTTGCTATATATGGCAAGGTGATGGTTTTGATTGGGTCCTCAGATGGTTCTTTCCCAACGGTTGGGGTGATAGCTTTACGGATTGTGTAGTCTGAATATCCATTCGTCTTGAGAGCTTGGTGCACGTGTTTCAGTTCACTGGCTAGGTGATGATGGTCGGAGATACATCGAGCTCTATGGTGTCGAGTTTTGATGAGGGAATTCTTCTGGGATGGATGGTGGTGGGAGTCAGGTTTTAGGTCGGCATCCATATGGGAGGCTTTCCTGTAGACAGTGGCCCATTGAGCCATCTGGTCTCTTTTCGATAAAAAAACATCCAGGAATGGAAGCTTGCCATCCTTTTCCACCTCCATGGTGAATGTGATGGCTGGGTGTATGGAATTGATGTGGTTGAGGAATTGGTTCAGAGCTGGTCGGCCATGTGGCCAGATGACGAACGTGTCATCTACGTACTTCTTCCACAAGGACGGGCGTAGAGTGGATGCCTGGATGGCTTGTCTCAGATTTTTCCATGAAAACATTGGCTGCAACCGCAGATAAGGGAGAACCCATTGGGTTGCCCTCAACTTGTTTGTAGAATGTTCCATTCCAGGTGAAGTAAGTGTTGGTGAGGCAGTGTCTCGCCAGGGCCGCTACATCAGCATTCAGTCCTTGCTGGACCAAATCTTCAATGATTGTCGGGCACAGGAAATTTGGTGAATAAAGATACTACATCGAAACGAGCAAATCATCTGAAGATAGTGAGATGTCCTTAATTAACAATACCAAGTGAGCTGAGTTAAGTACAGATGAGGTGGTCTTACCAGTGAATGGTTGCAAGGCAAAACGGGCCAGTTTTAGGTGGGGGGAGTCATTTTTTACTGATTTGCCCACCTACATTTTCTACGAAAATGCAACAATAACAATACAACAATAACAATACAATAACACAAACAATACCAGCACAACAATATCACCAAGACAACAACACATCAACAACGCAAAGGAATATAACACGTACAACACGATAACAACACAACATTAACAACACGACAATAACAATACCAGCACAACAATATCACCAAGACAACAACACATCAACAACACAAAAGAACATAACACCTACAACACGATAACAACACAACAATAACAATACCAGCACAACAATACCACCAAAACAACAACAACACAAAGGAATATAACACGTACAACACGATAACAACACAACAATAACAATACCAGCACAACAATATCACCAAGACAACAACACAACAACAACCCAAAGGAATATAACACCTACAACACGATAACAACACAACAATAACAATACCAGCACAACAATACCACCAAGACAACAACACATCAACAACCCAAAGGAATATAACACCTACAACACGATAACAACACAACAATAACAATACCAGCACAACAATACCACCAAAACAACAACACATCAACAACGCAAAGGAATATAACACGTACAACACGATAACAACACAACAATAACAATACCAGCACAACAATATCACCAAAACAACAACAACAACAACACAAAGGAATATAACACGTACAACACGATAACAACACAACAATAACAATACCAGCACAACAATATCACCAAAACAACAACAACAACAACACAAAGGAATATAACACGTACAACACGATAACAACCCAACAATAACAACACAACAATAACAATACCAGCACAACAATATCACCAAAACAACAACACATCAACAACACAAAGGAATATAACACCTACAACACGATAACAACACAACAATAACAATACCAGCACAACAATATCACCAAAACAACAACACAACAACAACCCAAAAGAACATAACACGTACAACACGATAACAACACAACAATAACAATACCAGCACAACAATATCACCAAAACAACAACACAACAACAACGCAAAGGAATATAACACGTACAACATGATAACATCCCAACAATAACAATACCAGCACAACAATACCACCAAAACAACAACACATCAACAACACAAAGGAATATAACATCTACAACACGATAACAACACAACAATAACAATACCAGCACAACAATACCACCAACACAACAACACATCAACAACGCAAAGGAATATAACACGTACAACACAATAACAACACAACAATAACAATACCAGCACAACAATATCACCAAAACAACAACACAACAACAACGCAAAGGAATATAACACGTACAACATGATAACAACACAACAATAACAATACCAGCACAACAATATCACCAAAACAACAACACATCAACAACCCAAAGGCATATAACACGTACAACACGATAACAACACAACAATAACAACACAACAATAACAATACCAGCACAATATCACCAAAACAACAACAACAACACAAAGAAATATAACACGTACAACACGATAACAACACAACAATAACAATACCAGCACAACAATATCACCAAAACAACAACGCAACAACAACCCAAAAGAACATAACACCTACAACACGATACCAACACAACAATAACAATACCAGCACAACAATATCACCAAAACAACAACAACAACAACACAAAGGAATATAACACCTACAACACGATAACAACACAACAATAACAATATCACCAAAACAACAACAACACAAAGGAATATAACACGTACAACACAATAACAACACAACAATAACAATACCAACACAACAATATCACCAAAACAACAACAACAACAACACAAAGGAATATAACACGTACAACACGATAACAACACAACAATAACATCACAACAATAACAATACCAACACAACAATATCACCAAAACAACAACACAACAACAACACAAAGGAATATAACACGTACAACACGATAACAACACAACAATATCACCAAAACAACAACACAACAACAACCCAAAAGAACATAACACGTACAACACAATAACAACACAACAATAACAATATCACCAAAACAACAACAACAACACAAAGGAATATAACACGTACAACACGATAACAACACAACAATATCGCCAAAACAACAACAACAACACACCGTGGATTCATCATCGCGATGATGCGACGACCGTGGAGACTGGTCACGTGAGCCTCACTCACCGATTCCACCTGCTCCTGTGTGGGGATCCTGTTCTCCTGGACTCTGTGCCACTGTCTCAACCACCACCACCACCACGCGGTGTTCAACAACCACCACACTGTGCTCAACAACCACTACCACCACTACTACTGTGTTCAACAACCACTACCACCACCACTACCACCACCACCACCACCACTACCACCACCACCACTACCACCACCACCACTACCACCACTACCACCACCACCACTACCACCACCACTACTACCACTACCACCACTACTACCACCACTACCACCACCACCACTACCACCACCACTACTACCACTACCACCACCACTACCACCACCACTACCACCACTACTACCACCACTACCACCACCACTACTACCACCACCACTACCACCACCACTACCACCACCACTACCACCACTATCACCACCACCACTACCACCACTACCACCACCACTACCACCACCACCACTACCACCACCACCACTACCACCACCACCACTACTACCACTACCACCACTACTACCACCACTACCACCACCACCACTACCACCACCACTACTACCACTACCACCACCACTACCACCACCACTACCACCACTACTACCACCACTACCACCACCACTACCACCACCACTACTACCACCACTACCACTACCACCACTATCACCACCACCACTACCACCACTACTACCACTACCACCACCACTACCACCACCACTACCACCACTACTACCACCACTACCACCACCACTACCACCACCACTACTACCACCACTACCACTACCACCACTATCACCACCACCACTACCACCACTACTACCACTACCACCACCACTACCACCACCACCACTACCACCACCACCACTACCACCACCACCACTACTACCACTACCACCACTACTACCACCACTACCACCACCACCACTACCACCACCACTACTACCACTACCACCACCACTACCACCACCACTACCACCACTACTACCACCACTACCACCACCACTACCACCACCACTACCACCACCACTACTACCACCACTACCACTACCACCACTATCACCACCACCACTACCACCACTACTACCACTACCACCACCACTACCACCACCACTACCACCACTACTACCACCACTACCACCACCACTACCACCACCACTACTACCACCACTACCACTACCACCACTATCACCACCACCACTACCACCACTACTACCACTACCACCACCACTACCACCACCACTACCACCACTACTACCACCACTACCACCACCACTACCACCACCACTACTACCACCACTACCACTACCACCACTATCACCACCACCACTACCACCACTACTACCACTACCACCACCACTACCACCACCACCACTACCACCACCACCACTACCACCACCACCACTACTACCACTACCACCACTACTACCACCACTACCACCACCACCACTACCACCACCACTACTACCACTACCACCACCACTACCACCACCACTACCACCACTACTACCACCACTACCACCACCACTACCACCACCACTACTACCACCACTACCACTACCACCACTATCACCACCACCACTACCACCACTACTACCACTACCACCACCACTACCACCACCACTACCACCACTACTACCACCACTACCACCACCACTACCACCACCACTACTACCACCACTACCACTACCACCACTATCACCACCACCACTACCACCACTACTACCACTACCACCACGCTGTGTTCAACCACCACCACACTGTGTTCAACAACCACTACCACCACCACTACCACCACCACCACTACCACCACCACCACACTGTGCTCAACAACCACTACCACCACCACACTGTGCTCAACAACCACTACCACCACTACTACTGTGTTCAACAACCACTACCACCACCACCACTACCACCACCACTACCACCACCACCACTACCACCACTACCACCACCACCACTACCACCACCACCACTACCACCACCACTACCACCACCACCACACTGTGTTCAACCACCACTACCACCACTACCACCACCACTACCACCACCACTACCACCACCACCACCGCTACCACCACCACCACTACCACCACACTGTGTTCAACCACCACTACCACCACCACTACCACCACCACTACCACACTGTGTTCAACCACCACCACTAACACTACCACCACAATGTGTTCAACCACCACTAACACCACCACCACTACCACCACCACAGTGTGCTCAACAACCACCACCACCACTATAACTACTACCACACTGTGTTCAACCACCACTAACACCACCACCACTACCACCACCACAGTGTGCTCAACAACCACTACCACCACTACCACCACCACTACCACCACTGTGTTCACCCACCACCACTACCACCACCACTACCACCACCAGATTGGTTAAATCACAGACTGCTGGTGATGAGAGTTGGTTGTGTTGAACCAATACTGTGGTTGAGGGCTGATGCGATGTGTAAAAATAAATGCGTGTTCGTGAGAAGAGCCGGCAATCTCGGAAGGATACACATTGTCACCTGTTAAGTTGTCTAAGCACAATACTGCGGATAATACGAAACAAGTAATTAAAATGTTGTCGAAGAATCCACTTCACGCGAATCCGTTCCGGGATTTGTACCGGGAACCGCCAACCCCAACAAGCTCCGACTCCCGGATTCGGCACGTCGGGAGGTTGCGGGGAAAACCCGGAAGTCGGAAATCCAACGACCCGAACTACACGACAATGTAAATTAAAACGAAATTGTAACGGATTAAAAAAACGACAGCGATTAAAAGCGCGCGCACCACTCACCTGCACGTTCAGTTCTTTCGCCAGCAGCGCCATATCCCCCGTTCGTCTTGTTAACTTAATGTTTTTTTTTTAATGACGGGACCCCCACCCCGAAGGAAGATAGCGGCCTCGCCTAGTTTTCCAGGGGGGCTAGGCGCAGGCTTTCCCCGCAGGGTTCACTGGGCCGTAACGGGTATGGGGAGCGACTACGGTGGTGATTAAAATAAATCCGCGAATATTTTTTTTTAATAAAAAAGAGAAAATTTAACGCGAGGCGAACGTCGATGCGGGAACGTAGCCGGCCACGGAATATTTGCGGCGGGGGGTGTTTTTGTTTGTTCGTTTGTTCGTTTAAAATCTGACAATTATCGACGGGAAGCCGCGCGAAACCGCCGCGAAACTTTGCCGCGACTGCCCGAGGTGTTTTAGAACCTAAAAATAAAATAGTTCCTTAAGTTGGGCGGAGCAGCGGGCGGTGATGCGTCCGCGCGCGAGCGAGCGAGCGAGCGCACGCGCGCGCCCTCAAACCTTCCGCCGCCACCGCGAAGAAAGTAGTGCCGGCAATGCATTGCAATGGGTGGAGTGGGGTGGTGAATCGTGGGGAAAAATAAAAACTGAACAAATTGATAATTAAACTGTTCGATTTTGTGACAAATTAATCACTTCCGAAGGTTTAAACGCGTATTTGGGACGCGACTTTCCCTCACAGGTGCATTTGTGTCCACCATTTATTGGTGTCCTAGATAATTACAGAACAATTCGGACAGTTTTGCTCTTATACGTCTCAAAGTTCCATCCTACAAAGTCCCACCACAAGCAGAGAAACACAAACACGTAGACAAGAACTATATTTAGTTACATTGGAGTCTATGGGGGACTTTAACATTGGAGTCTATGGGAGACTTTAACATTGGAGTCTATGGGAGACTTTAACATTGGAGTCTATGGGAGACTTTAACATTGGGGTCTATGGGAGACTTTAACATTGGGGTCTATGGGAGACTTTAACATTGGGGTCTATGGGTAGAGACTTTAACATTGGAGTCTATGGGTAGACACTTTAACATTGGAGTCTATGGGTAGACACTTTAACATTGGAGTCTATGGGTAGAGACTTTAACATTGGAGTCTATGGATAGAGACTTTAACATTGGAGTCTATGGGTAGACACTTTAACATTGGAGTCTATGGGTAGAGACTTTAACATTGGAGTCTATGGGTAGAGACTTTAACATTGGAGTCTATGGGAGACTTTAACATTGGAGTCTATGGGTAGAGATTTTAACATTGGAGTCTATGGGTAGAGACTTTAACATTGGAGTCTATGGGAGACTTTAACATTGGAGTCTATGGGTAGAGACTTTAACATTGGAGTCTATGGGTAGAGACTTTAACATTGGAGTCTATGGGTAGACACTTTAACATTGGAGTCTATGGGTAGACACTTTAACATTGGAGTCTATGGGTAGACACTTTAACATTGGAGTCTATGGGTAGAGACTTTAACATTGGAGTCTGTGGGTAGAGACTTTAACATTGGAGTCTATGGGTAGAGACTTTAACATTGGAGTCTATGGGTAGAGACTTTAACATTGGAGTCTATGGGTAGAGACTTTAACATTGGAGTCTATGGGTAGAGACTTTAACATTGGAGTCTATGGGTAGAGACTTTAACATTGGAGTCTATGGGTAGAGACTTCAACATTGGAGTCTATCGGGAGACTTTAACATTGGAGTCTATGGGAGACTTTAACATTGGAGTCTATGGGTAGAGACTTTAACATTGGAGTCTATGGGTAGAGACTTTAACACTGGAGTCTATGGGTAGAGACTTTAACATTGGAGTCTATGGGTAGACACTTTAACACTGGAGTCTATGGGTAGAGACTTTAACATTGGAGTCTATGGGGGACTTTAACATTGGAGTCTATGGGTAGAGACTTTAACATTGGAGTCTATGGGTAGAGACTTTAACATTGGAGTTTATGGGTAGAGACTTTAACATTGGAGTCTATGGGTAGAGACTTTAACATTGGAGTCTATGGGTAGAGACTTTAACATTGGAGTCTATGGGGAGAGACTTTAACATTGGAGTCTATGGGTAGAGACTTTAACATTGGAGTCTATGGGTAGAGACTTTAACATTGGAGTCTATGGGAGACTTTAACATTGGAGTCTATGGGTAGACACTTTAATACTGGAGTCTATGGGTAGAGACTTTAACATTGGAGTCTATGGGTAGAGACTTTAACATTGGAGTCTATGGGTAGACACTTTAACATTGGAGTCTATGGGTAGAGACTTTAACATTGGAGTCTATGGGTAGACACTTTAACATTGGAGTCTATGGGTAGAGACTTTAACATTGGAGTCTATGGGTAGAGATTTTAACATTGGAGTCTATGGGAGACTTTAACATTGGAGTCTATGGGTAGAGACTTTAACATTGGAGTCTATGGGAGACTTTAACATTGGAGTCTATGGGAGACTTTAACATTGGAGTCTATGGGTAGAGACTTTAACATTGGAGTCTATGGGTAGAGACTTTAACATTGGAGTCTATGGGAGACTTTAACATTGGAGTCTATGGGAGACTTTAACATTGGAGTCTATGGGTAGAGACTTTAACATTGGAGTCTATGGGAGACTTTAACATTGGAGTCTATGGGAGACTTTAACATTGGAGTCTAAGGGAGACTTTAACATTGGAGTCTAAGGGAGACTTTAACATTGGAGTCTATGGGAGACTTTGACATTGGAGTCTATGGGTAGAGACTTTAACATTGGAGTCTATGGGTAGAGACTTTAACATTGGAGTCTATGGGTAGACACTTTAACATTGGAGTCTATGGGTAGAGACTTTAACATTGGAGTCTATGGGTAGAGACTTTGACATTGGAGTCTATAGGTAGAGACTTTAACATTGGAGTCTATGGGTAGATACTTTAACATTGGAGTCTATGGGTAGAAACTTTAACATTGGAGTCTATGGGTAGAGACTTTAACATTGGAGTCTATGGGTAGAGACTTTAACATTGAAGTCTATGGGTAGAGACTTTAACATTGGAGTCTATGGGTAGACACTTTAACATTGGAGTCTATGGGTAGAGACTTTAACATTGGAGTCTATGGGTAGAGACTTTAACATTGGAGTCTATGGGTAGAGACTTTAACATTGGAGTCTATGGGTAGAGACTTTAACATTGGAGTCTATGGGTAGAGACTTTAACATTGGAGTCTATGGGTAGAGACTTTAACATTGGAGTCTATGGGAGACTTTAACATTGGAGTCTATGGGTAGAGACTTTAACATTGGAGTCTATGGGTAGAGGCTTTAACATTGGAGTCTATGGGAGACTTTAACATTGGAGTCTATGGGTAGAGACTTTAACATTGGGGTCTATGGGTAGAGACTTTAACATTGGAGTCTATGGGTAGAGACTTTAACATTGGAGTCTATGGGTAGAGACTTTAACATTAGAGTCTATGGGAGACTTTAACATTGGAGTCTATGGGTAGAGACTTTAACATTGGAGTCTATGGGTAGAGGCTTTAACATTGGAGTCTATGGGAGACTTTAACATTGGAGTCTATGGGTAGAGACTTTAACATTGGGGTCTATGGGTAGAGACTTTAACATTGGAGTCTATGGGTAGACACTTTAACATTGGAGTCTATGGGTAGAGACTTTAACATTGGAGTCTATGGGTAGAGACTTTAACATTGGAGTCTATGGGTAGAGACTTTAACATTGGAGTCTATGGGTAGAGACTTTAACATTGGAGTCTATGAGTAGACACTTTAACATTGGAGTCTATGGGAGACTTTAACATTGGAGTCTATGGGTAGAGATTTTAACATTGGAGTCTATGGGAAACTTTAACATTGGAGTTTATGGGTAGAGACTTTAACATTGGAGTCTATGGGAGACTTTAACATTGGAGTCTATGGGTAGAGACTTTAACATTGGAGTCTATGGGTAGAGACTTTAACATCGGAGTCTATGGGTAGAGACTTTAACATTGGGGTCTATGGGTATAGACTTTAACATTGGAGTCTATGGGTAGAGATTTTAACATTGGAGTCTATGGGAAACTTTAACATTGGAGTTTATGGGTAGAGACTTTAACATTGGAGTCTATGGGAGACTTTAACATTGGAGTCTATGGGTAGAGACTTTAACATTGGAGTCTATGGGTAGAGACTTTAACATCGGAGTCTATGGGTAGAGACTTTAACATTGGGGTCTATGGGTATAGACTTTAACATTGGAGTCTATGGGTAGAGACGTTAACATTGGAGTCTAAGGGACCTGTCAAACCCTTATCAGTACCCTACTTTATTACAGACCAATTCAGACCTCATTGGTCACTATGTGCCCCTTGTAAATCTCAAAGTTCACTACGACAGAGTCCCATAATAAGTAGAGTAACACCAACAAATCGACAAATTTCCCTGAACAAAACGGCCCCGGTTCAGTCTTGTGTATCAGGTGGGGCCCTGTGAGCCATTCAGCTCTTACATCGGGGTGAGACTCCGAAACACACGAAAACGTGAACGAGAAAACCTCTTAACGTGATGTTGTTTCACTTACATGAGAGTGGCATGTAAGTGAAACAGCAGCAACATCATGTGTAGTTGTAGTTGTTGTTGTAGTTGTTGTTTTACATCAACCACACGGAGTTAAGCCCTGTGGGTTGGCACCGGTCGTGGGCAGTTTTTAGTGACGAATTCATCACCTCGGAAGGTCTGGGACGTGTACTCACTCAGGACGTGTACTCACTCAGGACGTGTACTCACTCAGGACGTGTACTCAGGACGTGTACTCAGGACTTGTACTCACTCAGGACTTGTACTCAGGACGTGTACTCAGGACGTGTACTCACTCACGACCTGTACTCAGGACGTGTACTCAGGACGTGTACTCAGGACGTGTACTCACTCAGGACGTGTACTCACTCAGGACGTGTACTCACTCAGGACGTGTACTCAGGACGTGTACTCAGGACTTGTACTCACTCAGGACGTGTACTCAGGACGTGTACTCAGGACGTGTACTCACTCAGGACGTGTACTCAGGACGTGTACTCACTCAGGACGTGTACTCAGGACGTGTACTCAGGACGTGTACTCACTCAGGACGTGTACTCACTCAGGACGTGTACTCAGGACGTGTACTCAGGACGTGTACTCACTCACGACGTGTACTCAGGACGTGTACTCAGGACGTGTACTCACTCAGGACGTGTACTCACTCAGGACGTGTACTCAGGACGTGTACTCACTCAGGACGTGTACTCAGGACGTGTACTCAGGACGTGTACTCACTCAGGACGTGTACTCAGGACGTGTACTCAGGACGTGTACTCACTCAGGATGTGTACTCAGGACGTGTACTCACTCAGGACGTGTACTCAGGACGTGTACTCAGGAAGTGTACTCACTCAGGACGTGTACTCACTCAGGACGTGTACTCAGGACGTGTACTCAGGACGTGTACTCACTCAGGACGTGTACTCACTCAGGACGTGTA